CTTTTTTTTTTCTTTTTCGAGACAGGGTTTCTCTGTGGTTTTGGAGCCTGTCCTGGAACTAGCTCTTGTAGACCAGGCTGGTCTCGAACTCACAGAGATCCGCCTGCCTCTGCCTCCCAAGTGCTGGGATTAAAGGCGTGCGCCACCACCGCCAGGAGAGTATTTGTTTATTAAGTGAGAGAGAAAGCTTTTGACAGCGGAGAGGGTACCCAGTGATGGGCGTCTGGCAAAGAGGCTGTATCTGTGGTTTGTTTCTAGGCTTAGGTGGGCTCAGATTGGTTTGGTGTATACGAACTCGGTGAGAAGTAAAGACCAAGGAGGACAGGGCTCTCAGAACTGGGGCAGGCTCTCGGGTCACCAGCTCTGCTCCCCATCCCATTCATTACAGACAGCTTTGTGGGGAAGCGAGCGCCTCCAGGTGGAGGGAGTCAGGCTCCATCTTCTGTCTCCTAAGTCAGGTTTCTGGTCACTGGCTCTGTCACTGGCAGAATCACTCTTCCCTATCTCTGTGTGTCCCAGGGCTCCATTTACCCCCCCCCCAGTGTGAGTATGCCGCACAGCGGACAGAATGAGGGTGAGAATAAACTAGTTATGTGGAAAGGAAAGAGACACACTTAGGAAAAGAAGCCAATTTCAGGAGCCCCTATGAAGTCTCCTAGCGGTCGTACGATATTTATGAGTGTGCAAAGCCAAACAGCACAGCATTTATAGATGCATCTCTTTGTAATGAAAGGAGTTAGAAAGCAACGGAGTGGAAACTCATGAGCTCAGGAGGGACCTGCAGGAGGCTTCAAGGGTGGGATGCCTGCTTCATAAATTACATATTTTTTTATATTTAGTGAGTGTAAAATACTACATATTGAATATTCTGACAGAAATGATTACGTATAAGTTTAATTTCTGTCAAAAGCTCTTGGTGACAACAGATAGAAACTCCAGAAATAGGCTAGACTGTCTGGCTCCTAATATGCTTTCCCCAGTTATCAGAGTTATGGCTCTAGGGAGTTATGAAGTGTCTTGTGCCTCAGTGTTTACATCTGTAAATTTGAACAGTGAAGTATGAGACTATTCTAATTGCTGAATGCATTTATAGAGGGAAAAGCCCACAGAAAAGTTGGATAATGAGGTTTGCAATTGACAATGGCTTTGAGGGCCAGTGATTAAGGTGGGTGGGTGATGGAGGAAGGATTAGCCTGTAAGGGCTAGAGTTCATGGGCCAAGCAGTTCTTAAATGAATACAGTTTGTGTGTTGTTATTTCGGGCATAAGCTAGCCAAGCGGCCGGGGTGTTGGGGATGCAGCCCCGCCACTTCTTATTTCAACAGGTGGGATTGTGGCAAAACAGGACACATGTTGTAAATGATACATAGAGCACACTAGCTACCTAGTAGTATAGTGTAACATTTGATTTATCCTTGTGAATTTCCTAATTTGGAAACTGAAGAACTGATTTCATAGTAAAGAACCAGAGATGCAAAGATGACTTCAGGGGGGCAAGCATGCTCCTCAGGGCAGAGTGGTGACTTCAGGGGAGACAGGCGTGCTCCCCAGGACAGAGCATTGACTGCACAGGGGCAGGCACGCTCCCCAGGACAGACTGGTGACTTCAGGGGAGACAGGCATGCTCCCCAGGACAGAGTGGTGACTTTCGCGCTGGGGGGGAGGGGGAAGACACGCTCTCCAGGACAGAGCGGCACAGTATGTGCCAGGGTCTCCACACTGCCCTTGTTGAGAGTCTGAAGTCCTGTTAGAATGACTTCCTTAACAATTCCATTACCAAGTTGGGAAATGTCTGATTCTGGTCCAAGAACAAGCACTGTCCTGCTCCCATGCAGAATCCCCAGGCCTCTTCCTCAGCTTCAGCAAATGAAATTGAGAAAACTGACTGAGGATGTGGAGGGACAGACAGTGAGATTGGGGAGTGTCCCCAGGCTCAAGAAGGCTCCGACATTGTCCTTTGGAGAGAAGCCCTGTGGCGGCTTGCTCACCTAACCTCCACTGCCTCGCCCTCTGCTGCCCACAGAAGCAGCAGGCTCCGGAGTGACAGGCTCCACGAGCTGGCCCCAGTGACTGCAGAGTCCTGGGTACCTTCCATGTTCTTCCCCTCACTTCCTGATAGGGATGGAACTTCAGATCTGCTTCACGGGAACAAAACTGTCTCTGCTTTTGTGTTACCTATTTATTTGTTTTAAAGTGAGTGTATCCCTAATTTTGATATGGCTGTCCCAGCACCCTCACAAAGCAGTCAGCCAAGGGGAAGGTGATCTGTGTCTTGCCTCTGTTTAGCCTTTCCTTTGCAGTCTAGCCACTGGAGTCAGAGTCCTTGCTGTTTATTTTGCCTGTCTGCACTCGCTGTAGCATTTGTCAATATTAAATTTAATTTGTGCTCAGAGCACTTCGCTAACGGCGAAAACACAAAGCTCGCTGAACTTTACCTTCCCTGTGTGTTCAGTCCAGCCAGCATTAGCAAACCTAATGAACTCGGCAAGGTTGTCCTACCCAAATGTAGGTCAATGCTGTTGACTGAACACACTGTGTGCTTAGAAACTGACCTTGTAAAACCCACTTGAAATTTATCTACTTTGCAGCCCCCTGGATCGCTTGTTCTTTTACAGTGGAACGTCCGAGCAGCAATCCAATGAATGAGTCAACAGGAAAGTGGTCAACACCAACAACAGACATTTATTGAGCGCCTATTGTGTGCAAGGCACTGTACTAGGTGTGGGGCTACAAAGACAAAGGAGAGACAGCCCCTGCCCTCAAGGAGCTTACAGTCTAGTCTAACAGACACGGACATAGAAAGACACGGACGATCCAAGGTAGCATGTCATTGTGGGGCACAAGTACAAAACAGGATCTCAGCCTTTTGTTTTCATTTACATTTCAGTACCCTGAGTAGGTGGGGGAGTGAGCTACAACCTTTCCAAGCCCTCGGAACAGCCTGGCCACTTTCCACTTCCGATGTCTTCTGGTGCTGGTGCTAAAACCTCGGCACCTGGAACGCCTCTTGCCCCACCGCCTCAGGCTTTGGATTTTAGGTTTTGAGGGTTTGTTTTTGAGAAACTTCAGAGAGGTTGACATTCTTGTAATGGGGTAGACTCTGGCACCCACCACACCGCTGCTTTAGGAGGCCTGCACTGAATCTGTTCCTAGACAGGTCTGGAGTTAACAGCCCACCGGGAGGACCTCCCTACCACAGCACTGGAGGCTTTAGAAGACACAAGGGTGTGGAGAGGTTAATGGTAAAGAGACGGGGGCTCGAGAGGAACACGATGAGGAATGAAGTCTAACTGCTGTGGAATGGGCCAACCAGGGGAGGCGCTTGGGTCTTCTGTCAGGGCAGGATTCCCTCCGGGAGACCCTGGGTCACCCACCCAGGGCAAATGTCTGGAGAGTACAGAACAGGTCCGTAGGTATTTAAACAGTGCCGTCTTCATCCTAACAGCATCTCTGCATTGCCTTTCACTTCCTACCGTCCACTTGCCATCTAAAAAGTCCTTTGAAATTTGAAATATAGTGTTTATTTCAATATGAGATCATCTATGTCCACTCTGATGTAGTTTGGATGGCTTAGAGACAGGGAGGATTGAAAGACAGGTGCCCCGTCTCTGGAACACGAATCTGGCCGTAATCTAAGGACTCCAAGAGGCCACACAGCTTGCCCTTCAGGTGCAGGACTTTGTTGTTTGTTTTTATTTCATTTCATGAAGCACTGAACTCTGTGCTCTTAGAACCTGTTTGTCCCTGAATCTATCTGCTTCTGTAAAGAGGAAAGAGTAAAAAGGAGTAAAGAGCGGGGTGAACAAGTGAGGGGCTTAGCTCCCTAATGCCCATTCCTGGGAATGGGAAGCACACAACCGAGTCCCCACGCAGCACACTGAATATTTACCTCCTAATGTTCTTTTAATGTGCGCTTTCTTGGGTGAATATTTACTGTAGAATACTAAATGTGCAATTCCTCTTTTTATGGGCCATTTGAAGTGATTGATTTTGTTTGTGGATTCCTGTATCTTTGCCCATAATGGCTATCTATTGTAATGGCCTCTGCCAAATGCTCTTGTGTTGAAATAACAGAAGCCAGGGATCGGCCAGCTGTGGCATCGTATTACTGTGGTCTCAAAAGCCAGGAGGAGTCCAATGATGCCACTGGGGAGAGAAGAAAAAGGTGTGTAACATACCAAGTATGACAGACGCTTCAGATCGCCTGAAATCGTGATGTCTGTAAACAGGCTTTTGTGTCTTTTATATCAGAGTTTCTGTTTAATGGTGTTGAATGGCATTAAGTCTGACAGTTGGGGAATGACAGTGGCAAGACATGAGCTCAATTGCCCACAACCAGGTCCATCAGCACGAGGCAGCAGCGCTCTCGGCGTTTTCTTTAATGCTGCAGTAAAACCATGACCCAAGTGATAATTTCTTACACTTAGCTACACCATGTTTTTGAAAAGAATATGTGTGTGTGTGTATGTGTGTGCGCGCGTGTGTATGAAGTCACATATTGTAGCTGCATTCTGGGAGAGTTTGGTTGCCTCTCATTCCTTTGCATATTTGAGAGGAGGAAACAAAAGATGGTCTTGTCTTGATGTTCTTTATGGGTTCTCTTCCTTTTAAAAAGGAAAACCACATAACCTAACGATACTCAAATGTGTGCAATAGTAGGCCAGGTGATAGAGCTACATTCCTGCAGGCATGCTTTTCCAAATTTCCCTAAGTACAGGAATTGTCAAAGGAGCCACTTAGATTTCAACAAATGATCTCTTCAAGGGATTGTGAAGGTGATCTGTCAATCAATCATGTGTTATTCACACCCTTCTTCTTGTGTTCATAAAAACACTGCTCAGGGGCCATGCTGTGGTAGGATAAAATTCATTTTCCTACAAAAACCCAGAAGACACTTGAGGAATGAATCCACGAAGCCTTAGACAGCAATTTCATTTTTTTAAACTGACTTTTAATAACTCAAGCTATACTACAATAATACTTTGTTTTTGCTGTCTGGATACCTGGGCTGCATTTGTATCTCCACAATGGTACTCTGCACAATTAATAGTTCTACTGAGTGAAAGGGAAAGGGACATTATCACTAATTAAGAAGAGGGGAAAGAGCTGTGATGTGAGACACCTGTAATCCAAGCCCTGTCCTGATTGTAAAAGCAGTGCCTGTTCCCTCATGACATTAGCGGCTGCCTTCAAATCTGTCATCAGAGACACTGATGCTCCTTTGGTAGCGTGCAAGGAAAAGCCTAGCATATTCTTACTTTTCTGAGCAGCATACCTTTTTAAAATGAAAATCCGTCATCCTATCTACCTTGGTTTTGAATGAAGTGGGTGAGGGAGGAGTCCTTCACATCCAAAGACTTGCAGCCAGTGCGTGGGTCAGAACGGTCCGTGGGACAGTGAGCTGGGAGACGGGGAATGTCTTTCTGTTCTCTTCTCAAGAAAGGGCAGCTCTTGGCACTCATAGTCAGGGAACACTCAGAAGCCTCCGCCACTCGCTCCTCTCACTTTCTTAGAGAGGCAAGGGATAGTGTTTAGACAAGAGAGGCCAATGAAGAAAACTGATTCCTACCCGGGGGACCCTAACATCTTCACCCTGACTTACCGTTTCCAGCTACTGTTGGAGTTCCGTCATCCCACATGTCTAATCCTCACAGCGAGAGGCTCCTACATTCTTAGATTCGCAAGAGGAACTCAGGGGATCTTCTGGTGCATTGTAAAGACAAGGAAAGCAGAACTTAAAGAGAAATTACTTGTACCAGTTACTACTGAAGAGAGCTGCTGTATCTTTAAGCTCCTATCCTTAGCATCTCTTTGTTTTAATAATGTAGTTTTTGGTTTTCAGTTTTGTTCTTTTGAACATTTATGTACATCAGAAAGTGTTCTAGCTGTTCTTGTTTTGAAAGAGCAATTTGCCTGAAGCCGAGGGGTTCAAACAATGCTGCACATTTCCACGTCCAACACTGATTGCAGACTAATAACAAGCATTGTGAATTCCGTAAGTCCTCGGCCTGATTCTACACATTCCAACCACCATTCAGGACTAAAGAGTCGGGAGCATAAATCGCCACATAATCATAATCTATAAAAATACTGCCTAGAGTACACTAAAAAACTCTCAATAAATAAATAGCAGACATTTTCTTTATGAAAATCGTTGGAGATGTGCTCTTCAGAATCATGTTCGTTCTTTCAGGCCTTTACAAATCACAGAGTGTGACAAATGACACCAATTATTGGTCAGGTTAGGCTATAACCTGATAGAAAAGTCTTTTGACGTGGACATCTGTAAAGAAATGCAATTAAAGGTGTTGGGCTGCTCCTGTTTCGGTTTCGAAGGCAATACTTCCACCCTGGAGTGTTCCTAGCCGCCATGGCAGTGTCGCTGAATCGGTACTCATGAGGATGTGCTGGTCTTGGGCCGTGGGGTTCTGTCCATGGTGCTGAACCGCACCACTGTCCAGCTCCCATTCCCGGCCTGGAGTTCAAGTCCTTCCTCTGGGGGCTGATGGCGTTCAAACCTCAGAACACAGGCTTCTCCTCAGCGTGATTCACAGCAGGTGGCTCTGGTTTCCAGTCTGGCTGGAAAAAGCGAATGTTGAATGTCCGTGCCCAGTTCTTAAACACCCGTTTCTCTGTGATGAAACGGTGGTGACTGCCCTTGCGTCCTCGCTCGTGCGAGAGGTACATTGTACATTCATCGGGTCCAGAAGGCTCATAGTAATGATAAGGTACTGAAGGGTGCTTAGGATCCCTGTGGGAGGAAGGGGAGATCACTATTAAAGCAGAAGAGAGCAGAAACAAAATGAAAACCCAAACCACACACAACATAAAACGTGCTTTTTTTAATTGTCCAATTCAAGAAGGATGTTACTCTTATAAACTCATAAACATAAATCAGATTTTCTCATCAAATGAACTTCAGCCGACAGTTTTCCTGGTGTGGGGGCAATAAGAGAACACAAAGGGTTTTGAGGCTGTAAAACAAGTGTGGCCTCAGAGAGCTTGGGCATGTACTGTTGGATGTTCAGGTCTCCTGCTTTAGGCACAACATACATGAGTCGTGACACTAACGTTTCTAGTTCCCCACAGCCAGAACGCTTCAGAAACCAAACCAAAACCAGTCTGTCTGCCTGCCTCTGCAGCATCCTATATCCACAGGGGCTTCCCAGTGAGCAGGATTTCAAGGACAGTCCATGCCCTGGCTCCTCTCTGGAGCCCTGCTCTAAGCCACCCCAGCCTTGCTCGCTCTGCTTCAGGCACACTGAACTTCTGACTGTCAGCTGTACCCACTTTGTCCCTAAGGCAGAGCCTTTGCCCTTGAGGAAGGCCACTGTCTGGAATCTTCCTTGTGAGTTCCTCCTTCTCCCTGTTGGAAATCAAACGCACCCTCCATGTGGTGGTTTGAATATGAATGATCCCCATGGGGGCAGATATTTGAAGGTTTGGGTCCCAGTTGGCGGGCTGATTAGGATTAGGGGGTGTGGCCTTGTTGGAGAGAGTGTGTCACTGGGGGTGGGGAGAAGGGGTAAGGCTTCAAAAGCCCAGGCCAGGTGCAGTCTCACTCTCTCTGCTTCCTGTTTATGGACCAGGATATAAGCTCTCAGCTACTGCTTCAGCACCATGTCTGCCTGCATGTTACCATGCTTCCTGCCATGATGGTCATGGACTAACCCCTGAAACTTTCGGTTCTGAGCTGCCTTAGTCATGGTGTCGCATCATAGCTATAGGACAATAACTAAGACACTCCTTGAATCCTCACCTTCTGTCCCCTTCGCTCACCTGTCAGTTTCCTTGGTGAATTAATCTCCTTGAAGCTACTCTTGCTTACCTACCTATTGTCTGCTGCGAGGAGAGAGATTTATCTCGTTTCTGGGACTGGGCCTAGTACGGAGGTAATAAGCAATGTTTGAGTCTCTGTCCTTGGGTAGAGTGAGCAGTTGCATGCCACATCACTACAGAAAATTTGTCCTCTGCTGACTCTAAGTCTGATTTCATGGAGTAAAAAGAAGACAGCCGGCAGGCAGTCACTGCTTTATTCTTAGTTTTGTAGATGGACCCTATGTCCAGCGTCTAGTGTCTCTTGGTCTAGAAATTCCCAACTCTCCCATCACTTCAGGGGAGACCGACAGTCTTAGCATGTTTATACTATATCCCCCATCTCTGCCTCAGAAAGGAATATTTGATCAATTTCTTCAAGGTGGTAGACCCAGTTCTAACATACGTGTGCCTGTGTTGGGAGGGGGTACCTTGTTATAAAGAGAACCATGTGCTCTGGTGTTAGGCTTGTCTCCATTCTAGAATAGTGCTCCCACTCCTTCCGGGTCTGAACAGTAGACAACTGGCTCCATCAAGGCTTGTATCAGACAACCTTTGCTGTTCTGAGCCACTAGAAATGTCCAGTCTGCTGCCATGTGTATCCCAAGATAGCTGTGACTACAGCCTAACACATGTGTAGACCACAATGGCATGTCACAAGGTCAGTAGGTCAGACACTCCTGCTAGAGGAAGGAGCAGGCTGCTCAGTAAGACTCTGCAGTTGTTTTTCAAAACCTGATGCCTGAGGGCCTTCCTCTAAGACAGCAGCTATCCCCCAGATGCTCCCCCCTGCTAGCTACCCTCCTGTTCTTTTTCTTTGGAGGAGATCAATACTCAAATGAGTTTTAGAGTTACAGTCAGTCTTCCTGGAGTCAGAAAACCAAGTCTTTTATCAGGGGAGGTGTCAACTCTGTGGCTCTGACAACAATAAACCCCTGGGCAGCTTCTCCTCTTAGGTTAAAGTTGTTCCAGGGAGAGAGATGTGTTTTCTTCATGCTAGCCCAGATGCTGTGCTTGGTTAACCCTTTGCATCTCTAAGATAAGCCTGACTTGGGTCAGGGGCTGCTCACCTGCCCCTTCAGTCTGCAGATTTTAACGACTCCCTACCCTAGGAGGGCTTGGAACAGAGTGCATTTCAGTAGAAAACATTTCTAACACAGAAGAGTCACGATGGAGAAAACTCGGGTTGGAACAGTCCACTACCTATAAACAACAAGCAAAGGGACAGAGAGCTTTCACCGTGAACCATGCCTGTAGTTACAGCACTTAAGAGGATGAGGCAGGAGAATCACTGTGAGTTCCAGGCTAGCCTGGATTATAGAGGGGCACCTTCTATAAAGCAAACATAAAACACCAGCAATAAGTAAATAAATCAAATCTCAAACAAGCAAACAAAATAACAAGGGATAGATGTGTGAAATCCATCCCTGCAGGGTCATATAGCATGACTGGGGAAGGCTGCCAAATTCATTCTGCCACGCTATTACAGGGGCTAATCTTCTCTTTCATATCAAATCAGCTTTTTAAATGTGATTCACCTAGGTTTTAGGCATCTTATTGGCACCAATCTTCTAAAGAAACAATTAGGTTTCTAAAAATATCATGTGATGGATGGAGCAGCTGGGAATAGAGGGTAATGGGAAGTCAGCTAGCGGATGCTAGGGATCAATTTCCTTATCCAAGAGGACCATCACTTTGAATGAAAGCCTATTGGGTTCCATATTGACCACCTACAGGGAGACTAGATTTATGGATTTGGGTACCGTGGTTTCAGAGGTGTGCAAGTGGCCACTCATGTAAGTGAAGTTGTTTTCATCTTTGAACACTTTGTCCAAAGAATTGCAGAGCCCTTAGCTGGCCTTGGGAATGCAGAGCTGAGGCAGGGTAGGACCTGCCCTCTCGGATGGGAGTCTACCTTTCCCTTCAGAAAGTCCTCCCTTGCTTCAGGTTGTAAGCTTGTTTGTCGCATCTCCAATACGCCTTTTCCTCTACCTGTTCTCACCCCGTGAAAACCATCACTGTCTGTGAATTTCCATAAACAAAGGTTGTACTCAAAGGGATGCGGTGCTGGACTCCGTGTCTGGGGCCAGGGAAATAGAAGAGGCTGGGCTGCGGCAGATGGGTCCAGAGTAAGTTCCCCTCCCTGCCGTAACTCCCCAAAGCCCACAGTGAGTTCTACAGAGCAACCGAAGGAGGATTGGTTTGCTCTTTTTTTTTTTTTTTTTCTTTTTAGAGAGAGCAGGTGAGGAGAGCGAAGGAACTAGCGTGCAGTGCTGACGGGATCATTCTGGTTTGAGTCATACAGAGAGGTCCCAGCACAAATGGCTTTTGAAGCATCTTTAAGTTTGAGCATCAAAATAAGTAGCAGCAATATTGGATAATCAAACTCACGAGGCAAAATGAATATCTACAGTCCCATGAGGATTGCAATAAAGAGTTAACAAATGGAGAAGTAGGCAGCCATTTTGAGAGAATTCCAATTAATAAGTATAGAAAAATTGAGGAGAGGGGACTGGAGAGATGGCTCAGAGGTTAAGAGCATTGCCTGCTCTTCCAAAGGTCCTGAATTCAATTTCCAGCAACCACATGGTGGCTCACAACCATCTGTAATGAGGTCTGGTGCCCTCTTCTGGCCTGCAGGCATACACACACACAGAATATTGTATACATAATAAATAAATAAATATCTTTAAAAAAAAACAGCCACACATATAAAAAAATAAAAAATTTAAAAAAAAAGAAAAAATGAGGAGATACAAAATCCCTCCCAGGACAGCATGGTGGTTGTTGAAAGCAAGGTGTGCCAACAAACCATTCATAGGAAAGAGATGAGAGAAATAGCATGATCTTAATCTATCTCCCTCAGGCTATGTGTTAATGACCACATAAAATTATTCACTGTACAATGGATAAATTCAGCAGGAATCCCGCCAATCAAATGATTGTCACCAGCGAGAGGACAGAGACTCTGGTCCACATTCCAACCTCTCCAGCTTGAGGAGTTTCCCTGGTAACTTAAAGGGCCCTCAGCTCAGGCCAAACAGGATTCATGGCTGTGATGCTGTAAGGAATTTCAGGACTCACCAGTTTAGGCAAGTAACGCTGATGGTATTATTATCGGTGTTTTTAATGCAGGCTTAAGCATGTGGATTAAAGGAAGGAGAGGCACTCAGAAGAAAGTAACACACGCTCAAGTAGGGGTGTGTGCTCTTCAGGAGAGCACAGGGAAAGGAAGACATTGCCCAGCATGCATACAGGGTCCTCAAGGGAGAGAAGCAATTAATTATCCCAGAATTAGCCATTTGTACCATTTGAGTGGCTCTCAGGTTACCTCCCAAAAGGCCAATAAGAAGCCCCTTCTTTCCTTCATATCTTGAAGAGACACACGAGGTGGCTCCAAAATGTTGGCAAAGGCTAAGACCTTCAGATCTCCAGGCAGAGGACATTATGTCCCCAGGTATCCTGCCTTAGCATCACTAGTAAGAGACATGGTGCCACCATGTACAGTTTGGTAGGAGATGCTCATAGGGCTTACAATATCTGTGGTCCCTTTCCCAGGATTAGCATCAAGCTAATCACAGGGAAATATCCCATAAGTTCAATGCTTGGGGAACTCTACATAGTGCCTGAGCACCGAGCAGTACTGTCCTGCAGAGACCGAAGGCAGGGTGGGCAAGGGTGCTGAAATCCTGAACCGGCTCTCGGAGGAGATAGAGGCTATTAGCAGAGCCACATGAGGTCTCACTGAAGTCTGGAGTTTAATGGAGAGTCCCACTGATGCTAATGTCTCAGTTTTGGCAATCAGATCACAGTTATGCAAAACCTCAGCACAGAACAGATAGGCGAAGGGCAAATGGACTCTATGCACTACTCTGGCAGCTTTTGTGCAAATCTAAAATTGTTTTAAACAGATAGGTTGTTGAATGAAAAAAATCA